CACTATAGTAAGGTAATTTTAATATATTTGATTTAAAAATTCACTATATCAAGAGTTCGCTATATTAAGGTTTGACTGTATTATTACAAATAAGAAAATAAAAGAAATAAAATTTTTTTCATGATCTCAAAATTCAATTATAATATAGAAATATAATTGATTAACAAATAAATTAAAGAAATCTACCATTATAAATAAAAAAAATAAAAAAATTTTTTTTATGATCTCAAAATACAATTATAACATAAAAATATAATTAATCAACAAATAATTAAATATAACATAAAAAAATCAAACGAAATGAAATTATTTTTTTTATTTTTTTTAATTAATTAAAAATAAATAATAAAATATAAATGATTTATAAAGACCAATAAAATAAAAATTTCTGTAAAATTCAAACATATTACATAATGGTCAAATTTAATGTACTCAAAAAGTAATACAAAAATTTAAATTATGAATTTATTCTAATAATAATATAAAAGCTTATAGTAATAGAGCAATAGCTGTAGCTATAACTATAGTTATAGTAATAATAATAGTTATATAAACTTCAAATTAAATTTGCATGAAATGTATTACCAGAATTGGTTATATATATATAAATTATTGAAGATATATACAATTAACTATATAAATTGAGTAAAAAACCAAATAAATACAGAATAGATCATTAAAAATGTATTTCATCAAAATTATTTCTTTTCTAATTATAATATATAAAATTTTTAGTAGCGATTTAAACACATAGGTTGATCTTGATTTTTCATTCACATAGCCAGTCATACCTCCATTAGATATATACAAAATTTTAATTTCAGCAGAATGAATACATAGCATGATCATTACTTCAGCTAAGGCCTGTTTATTATATGTATTAGATATATTATACAAATCTAGTTTCTTCTTAATTGATTCTAGCAAAAAAGTGATCTGAATAATTGATCTCTTCATTTTCATGTAGTAATTATTTCTTTTTTTAATTTTATTAGATATACAGGTTATTTCTTAGTCCAATGTAAAAATTATTTTTTCTGAAATATTAAAGTTTCACAATCCTCTTTGAAGTTTGAATAGACATAATAAATTTATTAATATATTTCAGTTAAAGCTTTAAAAAATATTATTTTTAGTAAGAACTTTTCTGATATTATATTACATAATCGATACCTGCTATTTAAAATTTTTGATCACATTATTCTTATAATAAAATATACTTGTACAAATATGTAATAATGCAGTATTATTATAGGATGCAAATATAAACATGAACTAGATGAACTAGACTAGACCAGACTGTTGTATTTATATTTAAAATTTTTTTATATTCAGAACTTTTTGTTCGTATATATCTAATATTAATTTATGTTCTAACTGTTCTGCAGATACAGACCTAGACATAGACTTTCAGATGTCCTATATCTGCAAAAAATCACTGAAATAATGTCTGTATATAACACTACAATTAGGGTTTCACAATTCGAATTGATATTTGAATATTTGATTCAATCAAATTCAAATCAAAAAATGATTTATTTGATCAAATCCAAATTAATATTTGATTCAATTCGATCAAATTCAAATCAAGTATTCAAATATTTGATTTGATTTGAATCAATAGTAAAGCTATCTCTAAAGCTTCAGAAGTGGCTCTTACTAAGATAATTATAGTAAAAAGTACCTTTGCAACTTCAGAAATACCTTTTTTACTAAGAAAACTATAGCAAAAAGCACTTTCACAGCTTCGGAAATGCCTTTTTACTAAAAAAAAAATAATAAAAAACGCCTTTGCAGCTTCAGAGATATTATTATAATAAAAAAATAAGTATTATTCTTAAAAAAATGTGTCTACTTTTATTTTGAAAAATGAGTTGTCAAATCTACTTTATTGGCCTTAAATTTAATAAAAAATCAATTTACAATTCGCCAGTTAATAAGTATCAGGAATTCACTAATGCTTATGTATATAGTACTATGGTAAAAACAGGAATAGTACTTCAAATCATGCTATTATTTACTGTGAAGCAGCAACAGAATGGACAAACATTAAAAGTAAAAGTGCTACAGAAATTGACAATATAATTAAAGAATACAACTCACCTATATAACATACCAACAATAAAAACGAATCATCCTAAACCTATACTAGAAACAGTTTCTCCCCTTCCTATTATTAGTCCAGTTGAACCTATACTAGAAATTTCTAAGAATGCAACAGCTCAAAGAAAGATAGTGGAAAAGATTAAAATAATCGAAAAAAAACTTGCTGAATTAAAACAAATTTACAACATCACAACTGACACTCAGATTCAGCATGATATATATATAAAAATAGAAAAAGCCGAATCAGAAATTAGTTCTAATAAGAACAAAATTAATAAACTAAAAAGAAACGCGAAATATGCTCAAAATTGTAGAGCAAAAAAATTTAAAATACTTACTGAGAACTAAGAGGTAGTTCAGTACGATAAGTCTGGTCGTCCGCCATTACTTTTCAAACATCCAGATCTACACGATCAAATTCACGACTCGGTTGAGTTTGGATCAGCTGATTTAAAAAGGTGAAAGGAGGTAGTTAAGGTATGTATCGTTAGAAATTTGTGTAAGAATTTAAAGGAGAGATATAATATTTATATGACACGAACAACATTAAAGAATTATCTCTTACCTTGCTAATCTAATTCGATTGCTGCAAAGGCTCACCATCATCTGACATGAGTTGCTGTATCCAGAGTTTCATATACAAATACTCGAGAGCATTCTGATGGGCATTATTGTCTTACATCTGTCAAATATGCAAGACAATTTGCTTCTATGTTTGCTGATATGTCCGTTATTGTTTCTCAAGACGACAAAGCAAAAGTGGGTCTTGAAGTACCTGCAGTAGGTCAAACATTTCAAACCTTACAGTCAATTAATGAACCTGTATTTGTAGCTGATCATGATTTTTCTATGAGGTGTAAGCAGAAACTAATTCCTTCAGTATATCTAATTATTAAACCAAATGAATTAAAAGATGAACTTTGAACAGGACAACTCGCAATTTTTACATGTCCCTAATGGCCTATTGGTATATCCTCGCTAATATATATGCAGGATCTAGAAAGCCTTGCCTTAAATTCCCAATATGATGTTACATTGAAGATCAATAGACAAATTTGACCTATTTGGATATTATTAGTAGATGGAAGGCCAGACGAAAATCCCAGACATTTGAAAAACATAATGGTATACTGTCAACTTTTTAAAAAGTTTGACTTGGATTACCTGAGTGTACGAACGCATGTACCAGGGCAATTTAAATACAAACCATCGAAAAAGGTATGACAACGCTATCTGGCAAACTTGCTGGTATCACATTACTAATTGACCACTTTGGCATGCATTTGGATTCGCAAGAAAAAGTCACAAATTCTGAGTTGGCTTCTCAAAATTTTCGATATGCTGGAGAGGCTCTTTGCAATATTTGGAGTCGCGATTCAATTTTTGGAAAACACGTTGATGCTCGGTATATTAACACATTTACAAATCCATTTGAAAATTTAGAATTTAAGAGTACAGAAAAAGAAAAGGCTGAAGAATTAAAAAGACAAGAAAAATAAAACCAAAAAAATGCAAAAAAGAAGGATAAAGCACTTACCTTTCCTGAATGCTTTGTTCCATGGTCTTGGATTGAAAAACACTGCAATTTATGCACATATTCCATTGATATCAGAAAATGCAAAGATACAAGTTGTTGTGGACTACTAAGAGCTAAAGAAGCAATTGAATTTCTTGAAAGCTACAATAGTTTCTTACTACCTGTTACAAAAGCTAAGGATAAACATTTTACGAATCCTATTTACTTACTCCAGTATTATGATTGTCTAAAAATTCTGGGCTATGATACTCATTGTTCATCTCTTGAAAAAAATACATACTCTCGTCTTTGTTGTTCTACATGTCAAAAGTACTTTCCTACCCTTACTTTCTTAAAGAATCACAAAAAACAGCACATCCTGCAACTTGAGAACGATCCAAAGGCTAATCTAAGAATTAGAATGAGCCGCTTGATGATTTTTCTCTTCTACCTTTACAATGATCAAATATCGTTCCATTTGAATTAAGTGAATATGTGTCGGATAGAGAATAAGCACGTGTTGAATTGCAGTATTAATAAATATTTTTGCTTATCACTGTATACTTTATCTGTCATTATAATATAAATAATCACGTGATATATATATCTAAGTGTAATGTAAGACATCTCTTAGAAGTCCCTGCTATTCTCACCCCAAAAATATTATGTAATATATGTCAGCACTCTTATTACTAAGTTTTCTTAGTAAAACTAAAGTTACAATAGCAGTTATTACTAAGTTTTCTTAGTAAAACTGAAGTTGAAATAGCAGTTTTCTTAGTAAAACTGAAATTGCAGAGTTATTTTACTAAGTTTAATAGTAAAATTCACCTGTTACTAAACTTACTTTGTAAAAGCTATCTTTGAAATTTTTTAGTGCAATTACTAATAATTTTCTTAATTAAAACTTTAGAATAACTTTATTTTAATATATCATTGTAAAAATTAAAAAAATTTTATATTCAATTCAATTCAATTCAATTTGAAAAAATTAAATCAAATTCAAATTGCTTAAATATTTGATTCAATTTGATTTTGAGAAACCTTAATTACAACAATGTATATAAATTTTAGTTTTCTATGAATTATAATCACAATTGAAAAATAATCCTAATGTGAGCAAATATTAAAATGTTTTATTAATAGTAGTTATATTATATATTTGTAATAAAATAAAGAAAATATATTACATAATCTAAATAATTGTTATAGGTATTAATATCTTGATTTTTATCAGAATCAGAAGATTAGAATACTAAATGTTTAAAAGTATTACCAAAAAATCATGTTATTTTATAAAATAATATAGCTCGTATATATAATTGTAATTACAGTCTCTGGTGAAAAGAATGACAGAGACAGTTTTCTACGATATGTATAAACTTTATTTTAATGTTAATTTTTTTTTATTTAAAAGAATAATACTAACAGAACATTTTTTATTAATTAATTAATATTTTGTGTGCCCTTCTTCTACATTGATAAATGCTTGAATCTAGTTCAGCATGCTATTAATGCACTAAAATAATATACCATCATCGAGATCATTCCATTCCTGCTGGATTGTATTAAGGAAAACATCACAGGTAATTTTTTTTTGCTACTATATTCTTAATCCTTTTTTCCACCTTTCCTATTAATATAACCCATACATTTCGATAGGGTTCAAGTCTAGATTATATAAAGACCAAGAAAGAACTCTTTCTGAAAGATGCTTTTTCAAGTCACGCTGAAAATCTTTTGAGCAGTGTTTAGATCATTATTTTATTAGAAGACCCAATTTCGACAAGTAATGTTGTCGTATTGTTGTATAAATGATTATCTAGGATGTTTCAGTACAAATGATAGTCCAAATTTTTGGTAAACAAATGAATGCTAACTTTTTCTTTGATGCTAATCGCTGCCTAAACATGAATCTTAGATGGATGCTTTACCATAGGAGCAATTGGTTGTGCATCATAGGACTATGCACAAATGATATTTCTAAATATTTGAAATATTGTTTCATCAGAAAAAACAACTTTCTTTCAGTTGTAATGCAAATAGTCATATGAATAAGTCAATCTAATAACCTTTGCTTTCTGGGTCAAGAGATGAACTTTTCTTGAAATAATAGAAATATATCCAAGATTTTTAAGTTTATGACGTACTATACATTCACTAACCTCAAGTTTCAGAATTAGTTTCTTCTAATTTAGCTTTAAGTTCACCTGCAGTAATGAAATGGTTATGTTTTAGAATTTTTTCGATATGGCGGCATTGGTTTGCAGACAATTTTCTTAGGTAGTCAGAAGAATGATCGATAGTAATATTAGCAGTTTTATGTAATAAACTGACATATCGTTCACATGTATGCAAAGGAATACACAATTATTTGGGAATTTCTTTACATTACGCATGTTTTGATCTCAGAGACTTAACAGAGTTTCATTGAATTTCAAAAGAGCTTGGCATTTTTTCAGTTAAAAATCAAAACAAAAACAAAAACAAACCTTATTTTTAAACTTACCTTTTATATTATGATACTAGTGCCTAATTTGGTCATATAAACAATAATCCCTATCAGAAACACTGTTTATGTTTTGGCTTAAAATAGATGCGGTATTACTACTGCTATTAATGATACCTGACGAAATTACCTTTCTTAATATGATGAAATTGACAAAACTGAAATGACGAAACTAGTTTTTTATTAATGACGAAATTATTTTACTTAATTGCAGAAATTATATTTAACTTGATCTAAATTCCTTGAATTAAAATACATTAAAAAATATAATAATTTTATATTTATTCATATAAAAATAAAGAGACGAAACTTTTGACGAAATTACAATTTTTTAAAAAAGAGTTTAGTCAGGTATCACTAACCGCCATTCTTTTCACTGGGGACTATATTTTAACTAATCTAATCTATACTTTTCAGCATCAGCTTACAAAAGTAATTAATTTCTTTAGATATCCAATTCATTAAAGATTAGTTGGCTAAAAAATTGTGTTAACATCTACTTTGCTTTATATTTGAATATTTTTTCTTCAATTATAATATTAAAAAATCTTCTATTAAAGCTATATTAAAATTTATGTTATAAACTGTAGGAGTAGTAGAGGTAGAAACTGTAGAAGTAGTAGAATCAGCAGGATTTATAAAAGTTTTTACAAGCTTTATTTTTCTATATAATTATTATTCTGCTTCACTTATATTTGTTTGAAATATTTTGAGTGGTTATTAATTCATTTTATAATAGTGTAACAGCTTAACCTTTGATAATAATGAACATAATGATACTTCTGCTTTCACTAAGAAAGAAAAACTACTAATGATCATTTAAGTTAGTTAAAACTGCCAAAAAAAAAAAAAAAAAAACATAGAGAATCAAAGATTTTAAATTTGCTGTAATTAGTTTTACCATAACTTAAAATATTTTTATTTTATTAACAACTTTATTTAATTCAAAAATAATTTAGGTATTGAATTCTAAGAGGTATGTTCTGATAAAACACCTGTTTGAAACAGCAGCATCATTTGTGTCAATAAGTTTTATTAGTAAAAGATCAAAAAGTATATTAAGATAGTTATTTTAATTAATTGTATCAACAAGTTTGACAGTCTGATTAATGATAATAAGTCAGAGTATAGTATTTTTAAGATGAGGAATATATCTATCTTTTTACACTTTTTCTATGCTAATATTTTATCTAAAAATGAAAATATTCACTAGGTTAGATCCTACATTAGAATCTATTATATTAATATTAATATTAATAGAAACTTAAATTCTTTTTCAATCCTTACAGTTTATGTTTGATATGTTTACTGCAAATCTCTTTTTCTTCAAGTCTTTATGATCTTCTTAATATTATTAACTAATTCTTCATTGACTTTTCTTTTGATACCTAATATTATAAATAGTTAAAAAAAAATCACATTGATTATAGTAAGTATAAACCAGTAAAAAAATCTTAATTTCTCTACTAAAGATAATTTTTGTGAAATTATTTCTCTTTACTTATCTGCAGAAAAAGCTGGTAACTTGACGATAACATAAATATATTCCTTAGTGGGTTTAGGAATTTTTTTTCAATATTATTTATAAGTCTCAATACTTGACTATTATCTATAATGTTGATATTTGGATTGGTAAGAGTAGTTTATTAGGGTTTTGCATATTAAATCGATATTAACTTTATAAAAAGTGAGGTTCTTTGCTTTTACATGTTTTGGAATCTCAACTTCTGCCTTCAATATGGTTTTTTTTTAAATCATCAATAATCATATTTTTATTATATTTAATTCTGAATACAAAACTTTCTGGATTCTCATGAACTAGACAGTAAATTGATGCCTTTTTATATGACATGGTGATGCAAAAATACAGTTCAAAGAAAGAGATATTTTTTTTTGTAAAAACAGGAGTTAGGTCATCATTTATCATTATACATGCTGATCATATAACAAATGAAACATCAAAATTGATGTACAAGTCATATTTTACAATATTACATAAAAAAAGTGTCATACTTTAAGCTAGGGTTGGTAAAAGACCTTAAAATAACCTTGAAATAACCTTAAATAACCTTAAATAATCTTATTATTATTATAAATTTCAAGTCAAATGATCTTATAATTTGCTATCACTGCTTTGAGCAGTCCAGAACTTTAATTTTTTTAAAAAGAGATTTTTTTACAATTTGGTTCCTTTTTTGTAGCACTCACCCATATATTAAATTAAGTAAATAATAATATTATTATTTGAATTGTAAAATGTTGTTTACTAATAGAATTTTATTTAATAATTGCGTAATTAAATTAGGAAAAGGAAACCATTATGAGTCAAGTGAGTAGACATAATATTATTGATCTATCCAAATATTCAAAACTTACATGACGATCAGATTAGTTTTAAAAATACAGTATGTCTTACGTTTTACTCTAGAAAATAATATTGTTATATAGCTCGAGTTAATGCGGATAGTTCTTTCCATTTTACTTGTACTCTAAACTTAACAACGGTTGTCACTAATAAAAATCACTCAATAATGATTTAACTAATCAAAATTTATATGTAAACTTATTTTCATTTGAAAAATTGATAATATGGTATGAATTGCAAATTTTGCTTCGACTCAATAATATAATAATACATTTTCAGTATACAGTGAGACTTTCCTAAATGCATCCTATTAAGATCATAGTGAAAATTTGAAAAAATGTGCATTTAATAAGGGTATGCATTTAAAGAGAGAATTTTGTATGATCTTTATATATTTGGAACTGTGTGAAGTGTGCATTTATAGAAAAAATATAAAATGCGTGCATTTAGGAAGGATGTATTTAGAGAGGTCTCACTGTATATAAAATTGGAATTAACTTAAAAATAATGATTGCTAAATTATGATTATTTTTATAATGTGATTAAGTAAATAAATGGGACCTTTGCAATATAGAGAAGGGAAGAATTAAACTTTACTTTTTATATATCAAATACAATAGCACTCAAAAGATTTGCATCACAAAAAAAAACTGTAATTATCAATATTATGTGATCAAAAGATAATTGGCATTTGAAATAAAAATATCAAAAAATAGAATACTAGAGTTACTTAAAAAATGACATTTTAATATAAAATGTTACACTTAATAAATTAATTTGCTGATCAAATTCCAAAAATGATGATACATATCTTATGACCGTTTGTTTACTTATGAGTTACTACATATGGAAAATCATTAAAATATCAATCAATTTTTTTTATTTCTTCTTTTCATTTAAATTATTTAAAATTTTTATAATTTTTAAAAATGGGTCGTTTGTCTCTTGGAAAATGAAATAGAGTTTATACACTCCTTCAAGAAGGATATAGTTTATGTTATATTATTTCCTGTAAAAATATTAACCAATTTAGTATTATCTGACTAAAAAACAAAGTAAATACTACCGGTTTTTTAAAAAATTTGCCCAAAACAGGATGTCCACAAATTTTAACTGAACGAAATGAGCGGATTATTGTTAAACAAATTTTAACTGGAGAATGTTCCACTGCAGTAGATATTCAAAAAAAATTAAAAACTGATAATAATATTGATGTTAGTATATGTATAGTGAAAAGAACTTTGTATAGAAATGGTTTTTTTTTTCAGAGTAAAGAGAAAAAAACCTTACCTTAAGGAAGTACATCAAAGGTTACGTTTAAATTTTGCAAAAAAATAAGAAGGATGAACAATTGAAGACTGGAATAAAGTCATCTGATCAGATGAATCTAAATTCATGATTTTTGGGTTTGATAGGTGCCAGTATTATTGGAATGGGCCAAAATAGCAGCTTCGGGATCAACATGTTAAACCTACAGTAAAATTTGGAGGTGGTAATATTATGGTATGAAGGTGTTTTTCCTCTTTTGGAGTTGGTAATATAGTACGTATTTATGGAAACATGAATGGAGAATTGTATTGACAGATATTAAATGAGGACCTTTTGGGAACAATCCAATGGCATGGGCTTGATAAAGATAATATTATTTTTCAACAGGATAATGATCCAAAGCATACAGCTAACCTAACAAAACAATGGTTTGATAACAATAATATTAATGTATTGGAGTGGTCGCTACAATCATCTGACCTCAACCCTATTGAGCATCTTTGAAATAAAATAGATATATGTTTGAGAAATTAGAGCATTGGATTCATAATCAGAATCAACTTTGGGAAGCTATTCAAAAAATATGAGTTGAAATGGATGATGAATTTTTAACCAAATTAATCCAAAATATGCCTGAACGAATTAATGATGTAATTAAAGCTAAAGAAGGATATACAAGATGGTGAAGAATAAGTTGGAAAGTTTTTTTAAATTTTAAGTCATTAGTTGTTTGATGATTTTGTTTTTATTTATATATAATTACAAACGATCATAAGTAACACATAATATAGATTGATATAAATTTTTACTTTTTGGTCAATTTTTTTTATAAATTATAAAATAAAGTTTTTATTATGTATTTTGTCAGATTTTACGAATAAAATGAGCCTTTTTACATAAGTTTTCAAGCGTTATATTAAAAATTATTTTATTTTAACATTTTTATTTAAGTGATGCAAATCTTTTGAGTGCCACTGTATTGGTCGAATTGAAATTGTTGAGCTTTTTTCATTTGTTTTTGTTTTTTGTTAATTATTTGTTTTTCAAATTTTAATAAATTTCCCTTTTTAGAGCTCTATTACTTTTTTCTCCTTTTTGTGCTATAGTGTTAGGAAAAGACCACCCAATTTCAGAACAAATGATTTGTATGAAGCTTGTTCCTATGAATAATTTTCCTGCAACTGAAAATATTGCTGAAGATTTTGTTGATTCTTCTACTGAAGAATACCTGCTATTCAATGTTGAATATATGCATAGAACCATTAGTTTATTTATTATTCAAATAAATGAGTTGTAGACGTTTTTTTCTAAAATAAAGTAATTTTGGTCTTCATCTTTTGGTTTACTGGTATTTTACATGATGAAGTAAAAGATCCAAATAATGGTATAATAGGTAGATCATACATATTTGGTTCATCATCTGATGTTTTTAGATTCAAATTTGTTGCTTGAATTACCGTTATCTGGATATAAAAAATAAGTTAATAATTTTAAATATTTTAATTAATTATAAAAAAAAAATTTAAAAATAATAAAATGCTCATTATGAATAACTCAGATTCAGAATTTAAAAATCTCCCAATCATCAACATAATCGAATTTTTTCTTATTTCTTGAAACATGCTTTCATTATTATTTCTAAATACTTTGAAATTAATTTTCACAAATTCTTCATTATCTGCTCTACTATAGGCAATTCCTGTTGAAACCTTTTCGCTACTTACACTTTTAATAAAAACAATAGATGACAACATTGCTGACATATTTTTTTTTTGAAATCAAGTTTTAATTTATCAATCAATATTATATAGGTTTTTTTATTTCAAATCTCGTCATGAACCTTTATTACATAATCGCAATTTTACAAAAAAAAAATTATTAATAATCAAAACAAAATAAGTCACAAAATGTCAAATTTATTATTACTAATCATCTAAATTAATCCAATCCATGCATCCAAACTAAAATATTTGTTTTTAAGTTAATCAATCCTACCTAATTTGCCAATATTAGCCAGTTTATCTGGTTTTACATTATAATCTAATTTAAAATAGGTTCAGTTTAACATATTTGATTTAAAATCAATCAGTTTATTCATTAATATTAACCAATAATCTAATCATATTATATCCAAAAGTTATATATTATATTACCAAATATTTATTTCAATTTTTATTCAATTCAAATAAAAAATTTTTTCTACTTTTTATATAAAGAATCTTTTTACAAAAAAAAAAAAATTGTGAGGGTATTTAGCAATAGCATAACATAGCATAGTAAAGTATAGCAATAACAAATAAAATAGCAAATGTGATCAGCATAGTAAGGCTGAACAAATAGCATAAGTTAAATAGTATAGCATAGTAAAGTATAACATATATCAAATAGCATAGCAAAGCATAGCAAAACAAAACAAAGCATAGCAAAAGCATAGCAAAACAAAACAACATATAAATAGAATATTTTTTGTATGATACTAAAAAAACCAAAAAAGCCAAAAAAGGCTAAAAAGCCTAAAAAGGTTTAAAAAGGTTAATAAGAAGGTTAATAAGAATAAAATAATAAACTAAGCAAAAATAAGCAAAAATTTA